AACGGATATCTAAAGCCATCACAGTGATTGGCTACCCAAGCAAAGATGAGTACATACTGTCCTTCCCTGTCAATACAGAAGTTACTGTATACAGTAAAGAAGCTGGTACAAACAAAGACCTTTGGGGAGTAGAGGTAAGTATTCAGATATTAGATGAGAATATTTCATGCATCATCTTAAAAATAAATAAATAAATAAATAGAAAAAAAAAAAAATAATATATATATATATATAATATATATATATATATATATATATATATATATATATATATATATATATAATATATATATATTATATGGCACATCATAATATGAAGGTGACATATAAATGTGGTATCCAGATATGATGTCACAAGTAATGTACATCTCTATATTACTAATTGAAATTTTTTCATTACAGATTAAAGGAAAGAGAGGGTATGTGCCAAAAAGATATCTGCGAGAAACAAAAGTTTTTGTAAAGAAGCTGGAATATGAGGTGCCAACAGAACTAGGAGAAAATGTGCCTAACCCCCAAGATAATAAGCAGGGTGAAGAACCGAAATCTGATAACTTGAATTTACAGCATGAAGTTGAACAGCAGAATGGTGAGCAAGTTGCAGATCAGGTGGCTGCAAGTGCTGAGGATATAGAGTTTCAACGTGTGACAAAAGGCTTAAGTCAGGAAGATGGAGAAAAAAAAGAAATACCAGATGAAGTTTTTGGTAAAGAAGGGAAAAATGAGGAAGCTGAATCCCCCAGTGAGGAGTTACAAAAGGGAGATGAAGATATAACAAAAGAAAATTCCCCAACAGATGAACCAGCAACGGAAGGTGGAGAAGGTGAAAAAAGTAAATCTGAGGAAGTGGAGGAGGTGAAAGTGAATGAACAAGTAGGTGATGATAAAGAACGGTCTGAAGAAGTGAAGGATGAAGCTGTCGGTGATGGTACTTCTGTTGAAAAAGACCAAAAAGCAGTGGATCTTGAAGTAAAATCAGAGAGTGTTGAAGGTACAGATAAACAAAGTGCCTCAGAAAATGCTTCCCTTGAGACTGAGTCGCAAGAACATGCTAAAAGTGAAACTTTGTCTGATGGAGAGCCAAATCCTCTTGAAACTAGCTCTCAGAATGGAGATATGCCTGCCCCAACTCCCACACCATCGTCACCTGATTATGAAGTTATTGATGGCACTACAATATATTTTGATGACCCACCACCTGCTGAAGTTCCATCAGTTATGCTGGACTCGTCTGTTCATCTTGACTCTTCTGCTGTTGTAAATGAGGAATATTCATCTGTACAAACACCTCCCATCATAAAAGATACTTTCACAGTGACTGATGTGAATGTCATCGATGTAACTGAGCCGACAGTCACACAGAGCCCTGATAGTGCAATTTCTGATCAACCAGAGCTGGAGAGTGAGACTGTAATGCATGATTTAAATCCAGAGTCTACAGCAAGTAAAACGCAGCTTTTCACAGATCAAAGTGATATTATTTTAGATGATTCTAAACCAGATATCAGCCCTACTTCATCATCATGGATTGCTCAGGCTGCAACTTCAGTGACTTCTTGGTTTGGTGAATCAGGGGAAGTGCAAGAAAATAATGATTTAGAGAATGTGAAAAGTGAAGACAACAATGGAGATGCCGAGTTGCCATTGCCTGAGTCAAATGAAAAGGACCTGAAAGATGAAGATAAATCGGACTTCATGGTACCAAAACCTGAGTCGATCATAGAAGAAGTAGTTTCTCAGGAACCTGAAGCAGAAGAGGAAAGTACAGGTTTCTTTTCATCTTGGTTTGGAAGTTCTGAAGATACCATTGAGGAGTCTGATGCCCCATCAACAGAATCTGATTTTATGGAATCTGACAGACCCTCTCAAGATACAAGTGATGTAAAGCTAAATGTGGTTTCTGAGGAAGGAAGCCCAGTGGTGTCAGAACAAATTACTGATCCTGCTGTGTCTTCTGTGCCCTCCAATGCTGAAAATACCCTTGTAGATCAGTATACACCTCCTGCTTCTGATGTAGATGATACAGCTTATAAACCCCATGCAGTACAAGGTGGCCCTCCCATGGTAGAGTCCAGTCCTGATGCCACAGTTGTGCCTAATCCTCAGGCATTCACAGATGACCTTACTTCAACAGATGACACCCTTACCCCTAGTGATGCATATGATAATGCTGAAGAGGATTCAGATCAGAGTTCAGGTATGGATATGTTGCTTGTTGGTGATGGACCTAATATAAGTGTAGGGACTACTGGGAATGTTAAAGAAAGTAGCGACAAACTAAATGAAAAGAGCTTTGAAGGAGAATTAGACATTAAAGCCACAAAGCTTCATCCAAATAGTGTAGAAGAAACTAGTTCTATTTCAGTTAAAGCAAATGACTTGCATGATACTGTGGATAGTAAGAATAGTGGGGGAATTGCAGTTTCTAACTCTGGTAGTGAGAGAGATAGTAGTAGAGAGCATGAACCATATGATTTGCATATGGAAAAAGAAAGTAAGGAGAATGAGCATGAGTTAGAGAGTAGCAAAAGCCTTAGTACTGCTCCGGCAAGAGATGCTTTAGCAAGCAGTGAAGATACACAGGATGAGTCAGAAGGTCAAGATATACCTACTGAAGGTGTAGATAATAGTATTTCTTCCAATAGCTTTTCTTCAAATGAGACCTCAAGAAAGAAAAAAAGGTCTCATGATAACAAAACTTTGAAAAATGAACAAAGTAAATTAGAAAAGAAAATCATTCCTTCAAATGTAGCATCATCCATTACAGAAAATGTGAATGTTTCTGCAAGTGACAGTAGCAGTGATGGTACTGGTGTTACTGGTGAGAGTGTGACTAACACTGACCTTAACAGTCAACCAACTGTAGATACTGAAGCACAAAGTGTAGAATCCCCTCTGTTGGTGTCCTCCGAAGTAGAAGATAGTCCTTCAAGAGCTGAAGATAGTCCTTCAGAGCTTGGTGAGATGGAGCAGTTGAATGTTGTTTCTAAAGAATTGCCAAATTTTAAAGTAAAGTCTGTCATTGAAAATGGTGTTGATAAATCTGCTCCAAGTGATTTTACTGAGCCTTCAGTTGTTTATAGTGACCTTTTAGAAGTTAACAGTGTTTCTGATGTAGATGATCCTCCTGCCTCCTCAGACGACGAGCAGGAAGAATTAGGGCCCAGTACTGCACGGCCACTGTTTGCAGAGCCAACTCCTAGTTTAGACCCTGAGAACTTAGCACATCTCGCAGGTGAGTTTCAAGCAAAAGCGTTTGGTATTAACTTATTGCACCTCACAGGTTTAGTGTCAAATGATACAGATCACCTTATTTGTGCACATTTTAGGACTGATGACTCCTTCCTTAAATTACTAGCAAACAGCATTATAGGTCATAACACTCGTAAAAGAAATGTTCATGGTGCTATCAAATTAATTGAGAAACTCTTCACTGATGTTGGTCAGGAGGATGTAACTCCTGAATATTTTGAAGAAAAGCTTGAACTTTTAGCGCAGAGGAACAGTGTTCCAAGTAAGACGAGTTTAGATTTAAATTGTTGCGATGAAGTCTCATATGCTAAGGGAAATGATGATGATATGAAAAGTAGGAAAGAGGATGTATTTACTGTAGATTTGCCAAATTCTTTATATAAGGTGTCTGTTGAGGAAGAGCCAGAGAGTTTTTTAAGGCAACTATCTCTACCAGATCAAAGTGATATTTTTGGGGAATCACAAAGTGTTGTTAGTACTTTTAATGCCTTAGAGGGAGAAAATAAGATGAATGAAGTTGAAGATCAGTTTGATAGAGGTGATACAATAGAAATGCCCAAAATTCAGGAGCAGCTATTGCTCACATCATCTAATGATAAAGACAGTAACTTTTTGTCCAAGGCTTTAGATAAAGAAATGGATTTAATTTCTGGTAAGTCTTCATTAGAGCCAGAAAATTCTATTTTAAATGAAACTCTTACTTCTTTTGGAAATGCCATTGAACATGATAGTGATGTCATACCACTTGAATCTAAAGAAGTTACATCCGAATATGAGTCTAATGATGAAGTATCTAACAATATGCTTGTTGAGAATTTGAATGTACACATACCTTTAATGCATGAAATGGATACTCAGTCGTACAAAGTTTTTGGGGAAGATGAAGCATTGTTACCTCAAGATGTAATTAGAGATGTGTATACTTTATCAAGTGGAGAGATTGTCAAATCAGATGCTTTAGTTGATGCAGTTGCATCTTTCAGCAAAAGCAGTCCAGTTGATATCATCATAGCTGAAGGAACAATTGAAGCAGATGGTGCTTTTACAGTTGGAACTCTTGGTGAAGAAATTGATAGTTTTTCTACAGTAGATTCAGATGAAACTGTACATGAAGTTGATACCCATGTAGATGACATTACAGATGAAATTGATAGTGTCTCACCGGAATCTTTGGTTGAGGAAATTGATAGTGTCTCACCTGAATCTCTGGTTGAGGAATTTTATACTGTTTCATCTGAATCCATAGCTGAGGTTGGTATTGTCTCATGTGAAACTGTAGTTGAAGAAATTGCTGCTGTTACAGCTGAAGCTGTAGAAGGGGATGTTGTCATTGCTGATGCTGCAATTGTGGAAGTTCATACCATCTTAACTGAATCTGCATCTGAAGTTGATACTGCCATAAATGAAGTTGCAGTTAAAGTTGATATAGTCACAGATGAAGCTGCCTTTGAGGAATTTGTTACTGCTGTAGTTGAAGCTGTAATAGAGGAAAAAGATACAGGCACAACTGAAGTTTTTGATGACATTGATACTGAAGGTGTTTCAGCTGAAGTTGCTGATGAGCAGGTTGATATGATCTCAATGGAAATTGAGAAAGATGAAGTTGGTATTGAGAAAGTTGATACTGCTACAGCTGAAGATGCAGTTGAGGAAGCTGATACTGTCTCGGATGAAGTTGGGGTTGAGGAAATTGAAACTATCACAGGTGAAGCTGATGTAGAGGAAGTTGATACTGTCTCAGATAAAGTTCCTCTTGAGGAAGTTAATACTGTCACAGTTGAAGAAACTGATACTGTCTCAGATGGTGCAATCAAGGAATTTGATACAGCTGACGCTGTTGCAGTTGCAGTTAAAGAAGTTGACACTGTCATAATAGTAAGTGATGTTGAAGGTGATATAGTCTCTGTAGAAGCTGCATTTGAAATTAATACTGTCTCTACTGAGGATGCAGTTGAAGTAACAAAAGTTGCACATGAAGAAGTTGATAATGTATCAGCAGAAGCTGCAGTTGTGGAAGTTGATATTGCCTATGCTGAGGTTGCTGTTGAGGAAGTTGGTATAATGGCAATTAAGGAAGTTGATGCTGTATCAGATGAAGCTGCAGTTGAGGAAATTGATACTGTCTCATTTGAAGTTGCAGTTGAGGAAGTTGATACTTTCTTATCAGAAACGGCAGATGAGGAAGTTGATACTGTCTCATCTGAAGCAGCAGTTGAGGAATTTCATACTGTCTCATCTGAAGCTGTAGTTGAGGAATTTGATACTGTACTATCTGAAGCTGCAGTTGAGGAAGTTGATACTGTACTATCTGAAGCTGCAATTGAGGAAGTTGATACTGTACTATCTGAAGTTGCAGTTGAGGAAGTTGATACTGTCTCATCTGAAGCTGCAGTTGAGGAAGTCGATACTGTCTCATCTGAAGCTGCAGTTGAGGAAGTTGATACTGTCTCATCTGAAGCTGCAGTTGAGGAAGTTGATACTGTCTCATCTGAAGTTCAATTGAGGAAGTTGATACTGTCTCATCTGAAGCTGCAGTTGAGGAAGTAGATACTGTCTCATCTGAAGTTGCAATTGAGGAAGTTGATACTGTCTCATCTGAAGCTGCAGTTGAGGAAGTAGATACTGTCTCATCTGAAGTTGCAATTGAGGAAATTGATACTGTCTCATCTGAAGCTGCAGTTGAGGAAGATGATACTGTCTCATCTGAAGTTGCAGTTGAGGAAGTAGATACTGTCTCATCTGAAGTTGCAATTGAGGAAGTGGATACTGTCTCATCTGAAGCTGCAGTTGAGGAAGTCGATACTGTCTCATCTGAAGTTGCAATTGAGGAAGTTGATACTGTCTCATCTGAAGTTGCAATTGAGGAAGTTGATACTGTCTCATCTGAAGCTGCAGTTGAGGAAGTTGAAACTGTCTCATCTGAAGTTGCAGTTGAGGAAGTTGATACTGTCTCATCTGAAGCTGCAGTTGAGGAAGATGATACTGTCTCATCTGAAGTTGCAATTGAGGAAGTTGATACTGTCTCATCTGAAGCTGCAGTTGAGGAAGTAGATACTGTCTCATCTGAAGTTGCAATTGAGGAAGTTGATACTGTCTCATCTGAAGCTGCAGTTGAGGAAGTAGATACTGTCTCATCTGAAGTTGCAATTGAGGAAATTGATACTGTCTCATCTGAAGCTGCAGTTGAGGAAGTTGATACTGTCTCATCTGAAGTTGCAATTGAGGAAGTGGATACTGTCTCATCTGAAGCTGCAGTTGAGGAAGATGATACTGTCTCATCTGAAGTTGCAATTGAGGAAATTGATACTGTCTCATCTGAAGTTGCAATTGAGGAAGTGGATACTGTCTCATCTGAAGTTGCAGTTGAGGAAGATGATACTGTCTCATCTGAAGTTGCAATTGAGGAAGTGGATACTGTCTCATCTGAAGCTGCAGTTGAGGAAGATGATACTGTCTCATCTGAAGTTGCAATTGAGGAAATTGATACTGTCTCATCTGAAGCTGCAGTTGAGGAAGTTGATACTGTCTCATCTGAAGCTGCAGTTGAGGAAGATGATACTGTCTCATCTGAAGTTGCAATTGAGGAAGTTGATACTGTCTCATCTGAAGCTGCAGTTGAGGAAGTTGATACTGTCTCATCTGACGCTGCAGTTGAGGAAGATGATACTGTCTCATCTGAAGCTGCAGTTAAGGAAGTGGATACTGTCTCATCTGAAGCTGCAGTTGAAGTTGATACTGTCTCATCTGAAGTTGCAGTTGAGGAAGTTGATTCTGTATCAGATGAAGCTGTAGTTGTGGAATTTGATACTGTCTCTGAAGCTGCAGTTGAGGAAGTTGATACTGTCTCATCTGAAGCTGCATTTGAGGAAGTTGATTCTGTATCAGATGAAGCTGCAGTCGAGGAAGTTGATTCTGTATCAGATGAAGCTGTAGTTGAGGAATTTGATACTGTCTCTGAAGCTGTAGTTGAGGAAGATGATACTGTCTCATCTGAAGCATCAATTAAGGAAGTTGATACTGTTTCAGCTAAAGTTGCATCTGAGGAATTTGATACTGTCTCATCTGAAGTTGCAATTGAAGAAGTTCATACTATCACATCTGAAGCTGTAGTTGAGGCAGTTGATACTGTCTCATCTGCAGCTGTAGTTCAAGTTGATACTGTCTCATCTGAAACTGTAGTTGAAGTTGATACTGTCTCATCTGAAGCTGTAGTTGAAGTTGATACTGTCTCATCTGAAGCTGTAGTTGAAGTTGATACTGTCTCATCTGAAGCTGTAGTTGAAGTTGATACTGTCTCATCTGAAGTTGCAGTTGAGGAAGTTGATACTGTCTCATCTGAAGCTGCAGTTGAGGAAGTAGATACTGTCTCATCTGAAGTTGCAGTTGAGGAAGTTGATACTGTCTCATCTGAAGCTGCTATTGAAGTTGATACTGTCTCATCTGAAGCTGCAGTTGAGGAAGTTGATACTGCCTTATCTGAAGCTGCTATTGAAGTTGATATTGTCTCATCTGAAGTTGCAGTTGAGGAAGTTGATACTGTTTCATCTGAAGCTGCAATTAAGGAATTTGATAGTGTCTCATCTGAAGCTGCAATTGAGGAAATTGATACTGTCTCATCTGAAGCAGCAGTTGAGGAAGTTGATATTGTCTCTTCTGAAGCTGCAGTTGAGGAAGTTGATACTGTCTTATCTGAAGCTGCTATTGAAGTTGATATTGTCTCATCTGAAGCAGCAGTTGAGGAAGTTGATAATGTTTCATCTGGAGCTGCAATTAAGGAAGTTGATAGTGTCTCATCTGAAGCTGCAATTGAGGAAATTGATACTGTCTCATCTGAAGTTCCAATTGAGGAAGTTGATACTGTCTCATCTGAAGCTGTAGTTGAGGAAGTTGATACTGTCTCATCTGAAGCTGCAATTAAGGAAGTTGATACTGTCTCATCTGAAGCTGCAATTGAGGAAGTTGATACTGTCTCATCTGAAATTG